AGATAGACTGAAAACAAACAAAAAATAATCCTGAACGTGGTTCCTACTTGTTTTTTTCTACGCGGAAACTATTTTTCCTTGTCTAATAAGTACAAGTCAATTTTTAAACGTTTTTTTATAGCAGTTCCATAAGAACAGACACGTCATTTCACTTCATTTATTTTTTTGTAAATATATATAAATATTCACGTAGTTTGTAGCAAATTACATTGTGTACAAACTATACAGCTGTCGGCGAGGACATAACCAACAATAAAACTATTATTAAATGGAAAAATACCATACGCTAGAAAAAAAACCGGCATCAAAGACGGCGGGGGAATGACAATCGATGATAATTTTGGCGAGGTCCTAGAGTCATTATTTGGCCCGTACTCTTATTTTTTTATGGTGCCTACCGTCAGTTGGCCTTAAGAAGGTTGTAATTTATTTTTATATTGAGTAAAAATGATTTTTAAATGGTGTAGTTTAAAATTTGAAAAAAAATATTTCTTTCTACAAACATCAAAAAATGACAAGGTTCGCGAATTGATAGCAATGTGCGAAGTGAAACTTTTTTCATTTTCCTACGTTACCATGGCACGGTGCGAGAAGTAATGCGCGTAATGCCTATTTCGCACACTGCATGGGATTATATGGGATTTTGGAATTTTGATTTTTGGAAAATGAAGAACTAAATCATAACTAATTATTTCTTTCGAAATTTTCAAGAATAAACAAATATCTAACTTAACACTAATGCATATTCTAGTTATTATTTACAATATTAACATTAATAGTACAACCAGTACACGAACCAATATTTAATCCCAAACTAGATAGTTCTGATTTTGCTTGAGATATGGGGGTTTTGGGACTTGAGACACTATCCAATTTTGATGTAGAGGTACTTCATCCCGGTATTTGGCACTAAAATTTTATTTGATATTTGAATTTTATTGTTGATAGAATCCTCGACGTTTCCCTCGGCCACTGTCGAAGATTTCCATCCTCCGTGGCGCTTAAAACTAAATATATCACCCCCTGCATTAGCAAGGAGCGTGGCTGAAGTTCTCCAGAAACAATACCCAGTGTATGCCTCATAATCTGGCAGCTTCAAGTGTTTTGCTATCAAGCTAGGCATCTTACCAATAGAATTTATGCCGACCACTTGGTTAACACATCTTTTATTTTGATATTTTCAAAACAATCTGCGACTGGTAGCATTTCTTGGACGAAGAGCTGTGTATTTTCGGTAAATCTCAATATAAATTAAATTTGACACTGTAAAGACTCGGTCAATGTTTGTTTTTGTATCGGGTACTTTAACAATCAAAATTGAATCTTTATCTTCTATGTTATCGACCGTCATTTTAGTAAATGGTGTCTAGAGATTGACCTCGCGAAAATTATCATCGATTGTGATTCCATAGCCGTTTTTGACGCCGTTTTTTTTATCATACGGTATATCTCTCTAATATAGAATTATACGATGTGTGCCAAAAAATTTGCAACAAAAGGAAAAAAAATAGTATTAAGTGATAAAAAACGTTTAAACACATAAAAAGGGTGGTTATACGATATGATGTCGCAAAGTCTATTTAGAATGCCAGGAGAAAATTAGTTTAGAATTCCAAAAATAGTTTTTTTTTGTTATTGAGCATGTTGAATTTTCGAACTTTTTGACACATACTGTATAATAAATATTTAGACATTTTGGTGTGTCCTTGTTGGCGGTATTTTCTGCCGTTCGTTCAAACTACTTTTATAAGTTTTAATTACTATTTTTTACCGATTTATCTGTTGTATCTGTATATATTTAGCGGTAGATTTACACCAAAATATTTTAGGGTAAGGATGAAAAGGTAGTAGTATTTAATATTTACCAAAATGCATTATTTCATTATTTATATTCCACATTTTGTATTCTAGTTTATATAACGAAGCAGAGAAAAAAACATGAACGGTTTACTGCGATGGTAGTTTTGTACATTTTTAAATTTACTGTTGTAATCAACTACCGTCAATAAAGCAATCTCTACAACCTTGATTTTATTTTGTTTTCTTTAAAGCCACGTCTACACGTAACGTTTTACCTGTCGGTTAAAACGGAGACCGTCTAGAGAACCGTCTTTCGTTTTAGTCTCGTCTAAACATAACGAAATTTTTGCCAAAGCTGTTATATAGCGTTGATTGAAAGAATTGGAAAGATACGCAACCTAATGGGCGAATTCATGACAAGGCTGATTTGATTTCCCCTTACGCATCAAGTGCTGTACGGTGGAGACACCAATCGTTCTGCGGTCAACGCATAAAACACTTATTTTCTCTAATTCGGTCAGCCAAGGCATATTGAAGACGGCGTGGAACTGAAAGCGTCAGTGTTGCCATATTAAAATGTGTAGCATCTGTAATACGTTTGACGAAAATATTTTTGGATGAAAAATCCACGTTTATGAATTGAAAATTTATTCGTGTCAAACATAAACAACAAAAATTAAATTCTTTCATTAGTACTGAATATGACGTTTGATCGAAAAAAGTCGTTTAGTTGGATTGGAAATGACGATTATTGACATTTACCTGTAATATTTTACATATGAAATAACAGCGATCTTCGTTTCCAAGCTAACCCTGACGCCGTTCTTTGTTTAATCATATTATATTAAATTGATTATTGCTAAAAATCCGTATTATTAACGTACTGTACCCAACATCCGTAAATCTACGGATTAATCGATAGTTCTGGCAACACTGTCTCCGGCAACCACTCACTCTGTCGACTGAAAACAGAACTACGGTACAGTATTCTTTATCCATTGCGCTGTAAAAACCAATCAGCGCGCAGAGGCGCAGAGCTAAACTAAACTCTCGGACAAACTGACGGTAACGCCAGCTACATCTCGAACATGTTTTATGCCACGAAATCGCCCATAAGGTTGCGCATCTTATTTCTTCAATCAACGCTACTAGACTTAGTTAGGATTAGTTGGCAACACTGAGCTTTACTGTAGATGTAGAAATATATTTCCCCGCATTTCGTAAAAATAAGGTCTCCATACGTCCGGATTTACCCGGACATGTCCGGATTTTGAAAGTGTCCGAGGGGTCCGGCCGGGATTTGAAAAAGCGTCCAAGAAACCTGACCGCAAAAACAATTTAACTTAGTAAAATATTTTACAGTTATAGTTGAATTAATTTCTCAGTTACTTTGTTGAATACATATTTTAGTCTCTAGGATGCTACAGCTCTACTTAACTGAAGCATGTTCGAAAGTACCCATTTCTATACTTTGGCGCTCAAATTTTTCCCTTCTAGTGCACTCCTGGAAAGTGAATGTTTTCTTGGTTTATATTTTGTCGATTACGGGGTTATTATTTGGTTAGGCCAGTAAAAGTTATTGTATTGTACAGGGTAAGTGTAGTGAGGAAGAATGTTGGTGGAAGAACAAATCGTTCCATTGCTACCAAAAGTCACTAACTTACTTTTTATTACTTCCGAGAAAAATGCGTCTAAAGACGAATTGCATTGCATAAAGATGTTATAGTTAGTAACTATTCGGTATTAAAATAAAACATAAATAGCCAGAAATCGTAGTTAATGACTTTTGCAATCGATTCTCCGCTTCAAAACATAGTGATTGAATTTGGTTGTTCGGAAAAATGTTAGTTAGTGACTTTTGGCAGCAATAGGACGAAATAAAACTTCTAAGAATATTGGATCACCTCAATATTCAAGCTGATCCACATATCTTAAAATTATAATTTACTTCTTTAGTATATTTATTAAAACTTATAGAAAATAACGACATAACCGTACAAAACAATTAAAAAAAAAACATTTATAAACATAAGATTACTAATTGGTATAAGGTTTTTTTTAATAAAGTTTTTTATCGTGGAATACATAAAGAATGCTCGAATTTTCTTCAACGGGAATTATTCGTTTCTTCAAACCCGCTACTTCAAGCATATCAAACCGGTTAATAAATTCAGAGTCACTAGGTTCCTTAATATCTTTTTCTCTTGCACGCTTCATTATATTGCAAAAATGAAAAACAAGCACTATTACATTTCTTGCGAGTGTCTAGTTATTTACTTTAATTTGTAACAGAACATTTCTTACATAGGGAAAATACCGCACAGCACTTTTTACAACGATAACAAAATAATTATACATAACCACAAAAAACAAAGCGAATTTACGCCAGATGTCACGAGCGGCTAATTCACAAGATGCATTTCATTTTCTATTGGTCGAGATATTTTGAGGTTAGGGTTAGGGCATTGTTTATTGTATTTAGTTATTTGGCGAGTTGGTTAGCGTGGTTATTTAGAGGGTGTTAATTCATTAGTTATGATTTTTTCAGATAGACGTGAATGAATTTAAGGTAATAGACAGTTAATTTCAAATTCAAACGCAAAATATAAAATAAGCATCGAAATCGAAAATAAATAACAACCCTATTATAACCCTAACCTCAAAATATCTCGACCAATAGGAAATGGAATGCATCTTGTAAATTAGCCGCTCGTCAGATGTCTGTCAATGTTACCAACGTTTAGCCCAATTTAATATTATCCTTATATTGCCTATCTTCAAATCTTCAACTTATCCTTATATTTTACAACATGTGGCTACCGCGCTGACTAAATCTTTCAGTCACTGCTATCGTCCAGGGAATGCTAGCATTCACTAGTAAAAGTTGATTTCAAAAATAGCTGTTGAACTTTTACTGGCATAGTCTTAGCAAATCAGGGAATGTGAGCTTTTACTAGTTTTTGTTACCAATCACTGATTTCCAACTTTTACTGTAACCCCTATAAAAGTTCATAAATAAATTTATAGTTTCTTTTTTACGACGTCTGTATGGAAACCCTATATAAAAAGCATTTTTGGAAATTGCCGCCATGATGATTGTCATGACATAAGTCGGAATTATTTTGTTTGTTGTTGGGTACGCAAGACTATTATTAAGTTAAAGAATAAAGATGATTTTTTTTTCCAAAGAAAACTCTAAATATAAATATACACTTTTTATTTTATTATTACCACCTAAAATAAACTTTTCTCGTACTGAACTTACCATTAAAATTAAAAAAAAACGTATTATATACAAAACTCGAAACAGAACCCTTCACATTAGGTTCTCCATTTCTTGCATGAACTGTTTGTAGGCGTCGTCTTTGGTGTGCTGGCCCGCCGCTATGGCGTTGTTCAGACTCATCTCCTTCTGCTTCAACTCCCTAACTAAACTTGTCACAGGTTTATTCTTCCTTTCTTCCCGTTTCACCCTGAGAGCGGACGGCACGAACCTAGTAACGTCGGCGCTGAGATTTCTGATTTGAGGCTTGGCTGATATCGTTGCTCCCTGTTTAGTTGATTCGTTTCTGCAAAAAAAGAATGACTTAAGGTTGATTTTCACTATACCTTCTATATCAGCTCCCTTCCGTTTACATATAATATTATATCATGTAAATGAATAGGACAATGCACACTATCCGTTCCGTTTCCCTTCCGCTCCATATCCTTTCCTTTAATACATTTTCTTGACGGACGAACTGAAGCGTATCGGAAACAGCGTTGTCAAGTTCTTACATTTGTACCAGCTCTGTTAAAATTTTGCTGATATTAATTTATTCTTTCACCTCTTAATTAATATTACCTTTTCCAAAAGATCCAAATTTTTAAAATAAAACTTTCGTAATGATATAAATTGTACAATAAAAAGTATGGAATTGATAAACGGAAGCCTACGTATATCGTCAATACAATAAAAAATACGGAACGGATATGGAATGGAAACGGAAGGTATAGTGAGAATCAACCTTTAATAGTCCATTTCACTAGTCCGAAAAAGCAGCACAATAAGCGCTCCGCATTTAACGATTTATGTAAAACGGGCTAGGTATTTTTACACAAATGAAGGAAATTAAAGATAAATGATTATACTATATCCTTATTGTAGCACATTTTTAGACAACTTTTTTGTTTCTAAGATTTTGATGGTCAAACATCAACAAAATATTACTTATGTTTGGACTAAATTTTCTCGAAAATAAAGATATAATTTAAAATTTCGTTATAGTACGGAAATAGATTGAAATTTTGCGATTACAGGGATATATAATTTATATGGTCTTGTAACAAATTGCTCGCTATTTTATGGCAAATGTTGAAGCTCTGCAAACCGTAATCAAAGCACGTGTGTTGGTTTGGTTGGAATTTTGGGTATGGCTTAACACAACAGGATCGGGCTCAGCCTTAGGCATATTTCTGAAATATAATAGATATTTCCTTCGGCCACACACCCGCTTTACCCGACCCCTGAGGGCGACCCGAACAGTACAGCGTTATAGACTCTTAATAGGGTGAATATGCCAATAGTCGGACATACACCAGTGGTCGGACAAAACGTATTTATTGAGAAATAAGTTAAAAATTTGGCTTAGTATTGCTTCAAATAATTAAAACCCCAATTCTGCAAATTCTTCCGCTTGGTTCTATAACATTTTCTTTGCCTAAATTGTCACCCTAAAACCGTTAAAAATTCGGGAAAGTGACCACATGTTTGTGCTTCCTAATTTTTGCCTGTTAAAGATGGAGGTGAGATAGTTTGTAAGGTAAGTTAAAAAGTTTGTATCTAATTTATGAAGTACTTATAACTTTACGTGTATGTAGAATAGTTTAAACTTTTATTTCAAATAACCAAAAAGAATGCTTTTTAATATTTTAATGTTAAATTTAGGTGTCCGATACACTCGTATATAATTTTGCTTTACTGGAAAATTAACTCTTATTATAGTCTTTTTCTTGATAATAATTGATATATAATATCTACTGTCTTTTTCGTTTGAAATATAATAAAACATGAGTTTTTGGTAGTGTTTAGCGGTCGGACAGCAAAAACTCGACACAAACGCAGATCGAAGGAAATAAAAGTTGTCCGACCACTGGTCAACGCTCAATAATATATTTGAGAGGTCGGACAGTAGCCCCTTTTCGACGTCATATTGCAGAGTTCAGACTGATTTTTTATGAGATTTTGGTTATTTTTAAGCACGAAGCCTAAAGTAAAAGGGAGGTTTAAAGGTTTCATCGATACAATAAAGATGCGTTAGAAAAACAGTCCAAACTGTCCGAGAAGAGGAAGAATCGCGTAAAACATGCAGTCAGTACAAGATTCCAAGTCAACAGTTAATAGTACAAGAGCTAGCAACGTCAGGAAAACAAGTACTTTAAAACGTCTGGCTCTTTGATATATCTTTTTCTATGCTCTCTAGAACAGCATGAGGCCCGTCTGGCGGCCGGTAAACGTTGCGTTCCCTACTGCGCATTGAAAAAAGATGCTATATTTTTATTAGTCCTTTAAATTCTAGTATTGAATATAAATCGAACATGTCTCCACAGCGCAGTGAGTAGAGTTTCCGACCACGAACCGATGATTCGGAGTTCGAATCCGGGTCAGGGCAAAGACTTTTTTATTTTATTTTCGTTTATATTCTGATAGTAAAGTAGTAAATATTTGTTTTTTTTTAATTACCAGAATTATTTAATACTTTACTATCAGAATATAAATGAAAATAAAATAAAAAAGTCTTTGACCTGACCCGGATTTGAACTCTGAATCATCGTTTCGTGGTCGGAAACTCTACGCACTGCGCTATGGAGACATGTTCGATTTATATTCAATACTAGAATTTATATGACTAAATTAATAAAAAAATATAGGATCTTCTTCCGATGCGCAGTAGTGAACGCAACGGGTATCGGCAGCCAGACGGGCCGCATGCTTTCCAGAGAGCATAGTAAAAGATATATCAAAGAGCCAGACATCTTAAAATACTTTCTCGAAAACATTGCTAGTTCTTAGACTATAAGGACCGTATTAAAGACCAATAAGCGACGCTCGCAAACGAATGGAACCAGAACTTGTTTTAACCCGAGGAATTGGAAAAAAAATGTTACCTGGATTGAAAACTTAACCGTTTCGGGATTTTCAATAAAAAAACAGGTGTTACTTAATACAGTTGAAAAACTTGTATCTAGAAAAGAAAGGAAAAAGGAAGCATGGTTTTATGAACCGCGTTGGTATCGTTTAAAGATGATTTTTGGTAATTATTGGGAAAACTGGAAATCGTCCGATTTTCACCAAAATTGGTATACACCAAATACGTTTAAAATAAAGTATACGGAGGGTACCGCTTAAATTCCTGTCCCGATGTTGAAGGATGGCTATAGAATTTCAATGCATTTCCTACATAAGTCTATCCTTGTGTTGTAGGAGGTTTCACTAAACAAGGATGAACCTATGTCTTGAAACATTTGACTCGATTTTCTGTCCTCCTTCAATACTGGGACGTAAATCCTCTCATTGCTCTTATGGGGAGGCCGTCGTATATATTATTTAAACGTATTTGGTATACACCCTATTTTGAAGTCGTAGATTACGAATCTGAATTTTTTTCTGGCGGTCTCTTACCGTTTTTAAATAGTCTTTATATTTGAATAGTCTTTATATAACTTCTTTGCGGAGGGGGTTAATCTTTTTTTAATATAATATAACAAAAAAAAGATTAACCCCCACCGCAGAGAAGTTGAAACCAATGCAATCAAAACTCTTCCGCGTAACTTTGTGACTATAGGTAGGTATATTATTGTCAGATCTCATAATAGGTAATTTATTTGAAATCCCTAATCATCCGAAAAAATAAAAGATATGGCAACGTTGCAAATTTTCAAATTTCTAGATTAGGTCTAGAATATATTTGTCTCTCTCATTACATAGGAGAGAGAAAGAAGGATATATGAAATGTCAAACTTCCATCTGCTCTCAATTTTCTTTGTTATTTTGTTAAGAAAAGTGTTTTTCAGTAAAATTTTGGACATTTTTCTAGCCTCAATCAAGTGTGGCTTTTATATAGATAAACTATATGATATAACTAATGAAAATATAGTGAAATTATTACTTTATAGGGCTGAAATAAAGAAAAATTCAATGTTGAAATTATTATTTTCTGTTTTTCTGAAAAACGATAAGAGACTGCCATGAAAAAAGTTCAGATTCATAATCTAAGACCTCAAAATAGTGTGTATACCAATCTTGGTGAAAATCGGACGATTTCCAGTTTTCCCAATAATTAGCTAGTAAACTTTAAATCTTATAAACTTACCTGTTGATTAATTGTGGAGCCGCAGACAAAACATTTGGTTTGGGTTGTTGAATAGTTTGAGGCCCTGTGACTAAAGGTGGCGCTGGTATCCTAATAAGCCTAGGTCCTGACGTAGGTATTCCCAAAGGCAACCTGGGAGGTAAACCTGGAGGTGGACCAGGAGGCATCAAGGGCCTACCAGGTGGAGGGCCTAAAAAATAAATTTATTTATATTTCCACTTTTAATATGATTTTCTATATGAATGTACCTGGAGGTAATCTTATGCCTGTGCCAGTAAATAGCAAAGGTGGAGGCATTGTAGGAGGTGGATTTGATGGTAATGAAGGTAAAGTGGGAACAGTCTCGTTTGTACCAGGTGGCATTAAAGGTTCGATGTTAACTTGTGCCTTGGCGGTAGTACTATCTTCATCCTTACGTTGTTCCATTTTCTTTTCCATCTCTTTCATGAATTCGTCCACGTTCTGTCCAGATAATGCTACCTAGAATATACAAAAATATGTTGTAGGTTAGGAGTTAACTAACAGCATTTTAAAAATAGTTTTACCATTTTCTGTTGTAAGGAAGTAGGTTTATTAACTTGAGCATTATCGCTATCCTCTGTTGTACTCTCTTCTGCTGTTTTTTCTTCTTCGGTTCTTGTTTTGCTTGAGATATCAACTACTTCACCGTCATCGTTTATTTCAGGTGGCAACCCTGGTGGACATCCAGGAGGTTCCCTAAATAAAAATATACCTGTATAAATCACTCATAATATAAAAAAAATAACTGTTTTTCACCTCACAGGTTGTCCAAGAGCTTGTAATTTTAAAGCAGTTGCTATAGAATAAATAGCTACCTCTGGCTTCCTTTCTGCTGTGGGCAATGGTATAGTGTTTGCAGTAATCTGTTGTGGTATTTGGGGTAAAGGAATCTCGTCAACTGTAACACTCTGAGCTGTTTTAACCGATTCATAAAACGATACAAGTTTGTTTCTTTTTTGCTCATATTCTGTCTGTCTTTTTCTCAAATCCGACCATTTTTCTGGGTCATCTTTGTAGTACATACTCAGTACTCTATCTAAAGTATCCCTCAGTTTTTTCCGTTTATCCTTAAGTACTTTTTCATTCAATGGTGATGGCTGACTTACATTGAACTCCATTTGATCAATTTTCTCCATTTCTTCGAGAATTTGTTGGGGGTCTTTTCCTTTTAGCACTGCGGCCCTCACCATCTGCCTCTGTTTCTTGTTTTTCTTTAATTCTTGTTTTCTAGCTTCCTTTCCTAAATATAAACTTATTTAAAATGGGAAAAAGTGAATATAACTATACGTACTTGCTTGATCCGTGGGATTCATATATTTACCACTTTTCGTGGTATTAATTGATCTTCGCCCCATTTTAAAAAGGCTTTTTTTTTTATTCACTATTTTAAAGTTAATTTGTTATTAAAATTAAAATTCTAAAATATAACCAGCCATGTACCTCGATGACAGATTAGAACTGTTTTTAACTTCATGTTAATAGTCAATGGCCAGGAGCTTTTAGTTGTTTTGTTTTACGGCCACAGCTCCAGGCAATGCCTTCTATTAAAAGATCAGCCTGCGGGCGGACTTTTGTTTACTTCATCAGCTGTACATACTTAGATATTGGGTTAGATTCCGTTTCATATTTTGTCGGTTGATTTTTGGTTTTAACTCTTTGATTTTTGGTATTATTTATTATTGTAGTGCAAAAAACTAATTATTTTGGTGTTGAAGTGACATAAACTACTACCAGATATATGGTCACTCTCGGTTTCGCACAAAAAATAGAAATTTTAAAAATTACACGTTGTGCAAGTGATTTAACCTAAAAGTGCCCATACATTTTTACTTATCGTGATTTTTGTGTGTGTTTTTAAGACTCTAACAATTCATCAATAAAGCTTAAGTGGAGTGTGTTATTGGTGCTATGCCTCATCTTTGTTGTGTTCCTGGTGGAAAGGATGGTTACTAAGGATAGTTATTATACTAGGCAGCCTAAAGTGTCCGGAAGAGCAAGAAAAGTGGGTACGAGTTATAAATCAAGAGAATTTTATTGAAAATATCTTTAATAAATTTAAAAATAATATTCTCCCATGATGGTATTAATGAAAACTGGACAATTATGTTTATTTTATTCATATTGTGGAATCTCCACTCCAAGTGTTGCTGGTTCAGCTTCGATAGATTCAAACACGTAAGTAGGTATTATGATCTAGGGAAAAATAAAGAATATGTGTATTAGAGATCATGAAAAAGATTATTATTTTGAGTTCAAATTTTAAAAAAGATTTTTGTAAAGACAAGACTGATACAGTTTAAAAGAAGAATGTGTTTTTGCAAGTTTTTGTTTGATAATATATAATGTATGTTAAGCATAACATATATTTGTTCAGTAATTTTTAATGAATAGTATTGATTATTTATAATACCAAATTAATATCAAATATTTAAGTGATGGCTGAATACAATATGAATAAAATAACAATAAAATTGGTATATTTGCATAATACAAAATTAAGTTTTAAGAATAAAGGTGTTACTAAAAATACTAAGAAATTCATATTTCTTTGTTTTAATTGGTCTAATGTTATTTACATTTTACGTAAGAATTATACCGTATCATCGAAAAAAATCGGCGTCTAGTTGGCTTGGAAATGAACATCGATGACATTCCCTAAATAACTGTACACATAAAATAATTAACTAGAATTTTACAATCTTGGAAAATTTGATATTCTTGAACCTTGATTCTAAATATTCTAAATTTTTGATTTTCTTGAATTTAGGTTCGAAAAACGTTGATTGATTTTTCATTTGGTTTTTCATTATTTTTATTTGGTTTAAAAAAAAACGGTTCGGCTAACATTATAGCCTCCATCAGTGTTGTGTCATATGAAAAAAATAGTGTCGAATATAATCCAAAAATTGCATATAAAATATGCACACCACGCACATAATGTTTACTGCGTACCCATAGTCAATGTAGATAATTTTAGTGTTAAGAATAATAATTTTAAAAAATATGTGGTCATCTTTTGATAAGTTTATATTAGTTTATTAATTGCAGTAAACATTATGAGGTGTGAATTATATTGTATATGTAATTTTGTGGATTATATTCGACACTATTTTTCTCATATGACACAACACTGTGAAGGCTATAGTTAGCCGAAACGTTTTTTTTTAAACCAAATAAAAATAATGAAAACCCAAATGAAAACTTAATCAGCGTTTTTCCCGAACCTAAAATCCCAAGAAAATCAAAATTTTAGAATAATTTAACATATAAAATGCCAGCGATCTTCATTTCATAGCCATCGCTGACGCCTTTTTTTTAGATAATATTGTATTATTTGTAAATATAATTTTTCGAACATTGATACTTGCAAAATATACATATAAATTTTGTGAATGCAAATAATAATACATCACTATTAGTAGATATTCAATGTTTTTGTTAAATTAGATCGATTTTCAAACCCCAAAATTTAAAATATATTTACATTTTACCCATTATCTTATGTACCTATACATTATTTGTACATTGTAAAACATTTGCTGCATATGTATGGTTCATAGTTTATTTGCCAAAGTATTTATTACTATAAATAGGTATATATGTTGTAGTTATTAACTGTATATTATGTATATTTCATTTAAACTATATCATTTTTAAAATACAAACCAAAAATCTGAGGAATAATTATGTTTTCCATGTATTCTACAACATATTTATTAATCCGTTATATCTAACTAGCGTGACGTCATAAATCTCGCCCGTAGGCTGATCTTTTAATAGAAGGCATTGCTCCAGGACTATCCGGCCGTAACCAGGAGCTTTTCATTATTTAATATCAAAAAGAAGAAAAGTAGGAATGTGCTGGACAATTTACCAATATTTTCAAAAGAAGAGTGGTCCACAGATCAACGCTTTGATTGATAGTTTCTTTTTTTTAAATTATATATCTATGGTTAATTATTAGACAAAGCCAACAACAAAAATAAATATCTTGAGCTTATGGAGCTTGAGCTCAAGAGAGTTTGAGCTTGAGAATATAACCTAAAGAGCTTGAGAATATAACCTAAGATATTTAATATTTTTTTAAAATGGTTATTAATAAAAATACAAAAATTATAGGAAAAAATGTAGTTCTAGTTCCATATCGCGAGGAACACGTCCCAAAGTAAGTGCGACTGCTAAGTTCAGTTAACCGATATAATTTATTTCCTGTTAGATATCATAAATGGATGCAATCCGAAGAACTTCAGCAGTTAACTGCTTCAGAACCACTTTCTTTGGAGGAGGAATATGAAATGCAAAAGTCATGGCAAAGAGACGAAAATAGTCAGTTGCTATTGTTGCTAATTTTTTATTTCTGTTAAAAATGTTATATTTATTCTTTTTAGAATGCACGTTTATAGTTCTTTATAAAGAAAAATACGAAAACACTGGAGACGAAATAGGTGAAATGAATTGAAACAAACAAAAAGAATTGTTTTTCAACTTCTTAATTATAGAGTCCATGATTGGTGACACAAATCTATTCTTCGCCACTCCAGATGACCGTATATGTGCCGAAGCTGAAATTATGGTAGCAGAACCGTGGGCTAGAGGTAGAAAATGTGGCTGGGAAGCAATGCTTCTTATGTTTCTATATGGCATAAAGTATTTGGAAGTTAAACAGTTTATTGTTAAAGTTTCTTTCGATAATATCCCGAGTATAAGCATGTTTCAGAAAATGGGCTTTGTCGAACTAAGCAGGAGCAAAGTATTTCAGGAAATCACTTTTAGTAAATTAGTCGAAAGTACTTGGATACAATGGATCGAGATTAGTTTGAAAGGATATGAAATTATTGATAAAAGCACTAATATTTAAGATATGGCTTCAAATATACTGACTCATATGACTGAAATTTTTAATAGTATTTTATGTAAATAACATATAATGGTGTCTTTGTTTACAATATTAGGAGTTCTGCTTTTTAAATTTGCTTTAAATATCTTAAAAGTATATTTAATCTCAGTCTTTTCAAACAAATGATTAACACATTTTATATAAAAAACAGTAAACTTTAATATAGCTCGATTTGTTTAGTAAAGTAAGAACCAATTGTTATTACAACAGAATTTAAAACAATACAAAAAATTGAACATGTGTTTTTGTTCACTATAATATTAACACAGACTGTTCTCGTTCCCATTGAAGTAATACCACAGTAAAAAAGATATCTTTATACTATGTGTTTAATTATTCTATCTGTGTGTTAGTTATTCTACCTCTTAAATCTTAAATAGAAAAAGTAATTAAATAAGATTTAAGTCAAGTCTTTTTTTCCATATACTTTTATCATAAATCTTTAACAGCGGCATCAAATATGTGTTAACCATCTTTAGTTTCATAAAAAAGTAGCAACTGTGAAGACCGTATCTTTGTACCGCTGCTCATAAACGAGAAACCCTGTAAAACACGCAAAAATGGGACAACCTGTACAGGGTGTCCCACTAAAAATAGCTCTCGGCTGTATCTCGGAAAGTATTAGTTGTAGAGCTTGCGAAAAAAAATATTTATAACTAAAAAGGCTATGAGAAATTGCTGAAAATTATCTTCAAGTTTGTAGAACGGTCGCTAGAGGGCGCAACTGCTATAAAAAGTAAGAAAATGGATTTTTTACACAATTTTGCCTAGATAACTAGTACTATAAATAATAGCTTCATAATCTTCATAAAATTTTGAATATTTTTTGTTGGAACCATTTTTCCCTATCTGCCAAAATAAAGTGGTGGGGGAAGGTTCGATTTGTTTTTATTTAAATATTAATAACTTCGGACTGGATAAACGGAATCCAACAAGCGTTTAAAAGAGCGTTTATTACTCTATATTATGCCGTATAAAAGATAATAATAAGCTTTTGAACGTAGACGCTAGGGGGCGCGGACTTACAATTTAACAAACATTGCGCGTTTTTACAGAAAAATTAAATGCGATAGGATATGTAATTTTAGCTGATGGTAAAGAGCTAAACAGTCAGCGACAATAGCTAAAAAGCAACAAGAGCTAAAAAGCTTAACAGTCAGCGAAAACCGCATCTTGATATCCTCTTTCAAACCAAAGATATTAGCAAAATTATAATAAATACGAAAAAATAAGCCTTTAATAACATTATTTTTTTAATACGGTTACAGTAGCCCTCTTGATTATAACCATTCTAATAAAAAATAAGATAAAAAAGAGTATTTTATTCAAAAAATCGACAATGTACCAGAATACTACTATAGGTGTATTAATATCTAATATTTAAGATATTAATGACAGTGAACAAGAAACGACGCATCAGTGAATTCATGGTAGGCTTTGGAAATAGTTGCTTTTAAAGGGATAGTTTAAACATCAAAATATTATTAGGTATATCAATATTTTGATAGTCTCAGCCAAGAACAGTTAACCTATTAGTTAGTTATAACCTATTAGTTAACCGTTCTTGATTCTCAGCAACGTTTTTTTTTATCTTTTGATTGCTTTTCTAAAAATACCTTCCTTAAAAAGAGAAAAAAACGCTGCTAAGACTATGAAAATGTTGATCTAATAACACTTTGACGTTTAAACTATTACGTCAAAGGCAACTTTTTTCCAAAGCCTACCATTACTTCATTGAGGCATGATTGAGGCGCCGTTTCTTATTCATTGTCATTGATATCTTAATTATTAGATATTAATACACCTAGTATTATGGTATTCTGGTATATTGTCGATTTTAGAATAAACTAACCGTTTCTGTCTTATTTTTTTATTAGAATGGTCATAATAATCAAGAGGGCTACTGTAACCATGTTATAAAAATAAGGTAATTAAGGGTTTATTTTTTCTTATTTATTATAATTTTGCTGATATCTTTGGTTTGAAAGAGGATATCAAGATGCGGTTTTCACTGACTTTTTAAGCTTTTATTACTCTTTACCATCAGCTAAAATTACATATACTATCACATTTAATTTTTTTTTGAAAAAAACGCGCAATGTTTGTTAAGTTGCAAGTCCGCACCCCCTAGCGTCTACATTCAAAAGCTTATTATTATTGTTTATACGATATAATATAGAGTAAGAAACTCTCTTATAAACGAGCCCTCGTTTGTTGGATTCCGTTTATCCAGTCCGAATGTATGGGTTTATATTGTAAGAAAAACTACCTGTTATGTTCCCACCTAAATTTATTAGTATATGATTGCATATTATGACATTGTGTTAATAAAAGTGGATAATATATCATTTCTTAACGAATCTAAGGGTTTATATAAAAAAGAAAATAAAAAGCGAGAAACGCGCAGTATCCGGACGCTGCGGGTCCGAATCCCCCGCGTCCCTCTTGTAACCTACAAATTAAAATTAACTTAAAACATCTTTCCTTAAGACTACCAATTCTATCAAACGTAAACTGGATTCAACGAACAAAAAATAACAAAATACATTAAATTGAGATTAAAATTCACTACAAAAAATAATCAAAAATAAAGCTGTGTTGTTTTTTTCCTAATGGATAACGCCTTTAGCCTTGAGCAGGTCGCGCATCAGCCCCTTCAAGTACTTGATTTCGCGCTGCAAATCCGTTATCTTCGTGTTCAATTCTCCGTGCGACTCCAACAGTTGTTTCTCTTCGTGAAGGATCTCCTCAACTTCGGCCTTCTTCTTCATGCGGTATCTGGTGGCAGCGTTCTTGTTCTGCTCCTTCTTACGCGACTTCTTGTCGTCGGGAGAGTTGCAGTACGGATTGGACCTTCTTTTGCGCGTTTGCGTTTTCTGCACCAGCTCTTCGTAAGTGCTGTAGTGTTCAACGGGCTCGGGCATCCATTCCGGGTCGTCAGAAGAGCAATCCCCGAAGTTACTACTGTTACAACTGCTATCGGGAGAAGAAGGTCCGCTGCTATTCCATTGCATGATGTCTTCGGCGCGGGTACGGACCAACTCATCCACAACAGCCAGTTCGTGTGCGATGTCCGGTTGAGGCGTGGGCATAGAGGCGTAACTCATATCAACAGCGAAAGCAAGACCGCCCTCGTGCTTCTCAGGTACGGAGTAGACGACGGCGGCATCCTTGGTGACGATCTGGGGGAAGGGGTTGCCCAGGATCGGTTCGAGCGTGGTCACGGTGACGGGCTGGTTACCCGGCGGGCTCTGAGGTGGCGTTAGGGTGCCGTGGTTCAGTTCGTAGTAGACCTTTTCCAGCTCGTTGAGGAGGAAGGTGTTGTCCTCGGGGCTCTTGTAGTACTCGGACTTGAGGGGCACCGGCACGGCGACGGCGCCGCGGGGTGGCTCCACATCGTCCAGCAGCGGGAGCATTTTCTCATCGAGAAGGAAAGGTTCTGGAAGAGAATTAAAGACGATATTAGTTGCAGGAAAATATAAAAACTTTCGATGCTGCAAATCAAATTGAAAAAAAAGTGAAAAAGTGAAAAATCTACATTATTATTATTAATAAGCAATCACCTTTTTAATTTTTTCACTCTTATTTATTTACACCCTGTATATAAGTGTCCCTCTACGTTCTATTATTTCTCTAAGGAACAGGCAATATATCTATTGTAAAATCAATAATCAAAATGTAAAATGCATACTAAAAGTAAAAATGATCTGGTAGATCTTGATAAAAGAAACAGATTTTTTCTTTGCCGTTTTTCAAATACGTCAAAAATAACCGAGTTATTCAAGTTTGAAAATATTAAAAAAACTGGATTTATTTTTAAAAAATTTTCGAGAGCCACCGAATTTTTCTGTATTTGCATCCTTTTTAGTGCCGTAACCATAGAGTAAAGCCGTAACCATGGTAATATCAGAGAAGAAGGAAATTATATCGTGGAAAAATTTGCAGTGAACAGGCAGTTCTAAAAAGTTTTCAAAAATATACAAGAAATTTTAAAAGAAAATGCACGGTTTTCTTTTAAAATTTTGAACAAAACGAAACATCTTTTTTGCGAAAAAAACTCATAGACGTGTTTCTGGGATTGAAATATACCACCCCTAAAATATTTGCACTTATTTAAGACTGTAATCTGTATGTTGATCGAAAAAAAAACGACGTCAAAGGCGACTGAACAATCGTTGATAATTTTGGCGAGGTCAATCTCTAGATGTCATTTACCAAAAATTGAACATAAAACTCGTTAAGAATTAGCCCTAATTACAGAAAAACTAAAAAATAATAGAAAATTTCTAGCCACACAAAATTATTTCAAAAAAAAATATTTTTTTCTCGAATTTAAACTACAGAATTTAAAAACCATTTAAAATAAACTACAACCTTCTTTAATGCCAACTGGCAATAAGTCCTATTAAAAAATAAGAAGAGGGCGGGCCAAGTAAATGACGTTTATAGGGCTTGACCTCGCCAAAATCATCGATTGTCTTTGGCCAACCGTCTTTGACGCTGTTTTCTTTTCGGTCCTATGGTATTTTAAAATTAAATACATTAAACATTCACATACATCTGAATTATTAACTTACAATAATTGTAATACTTTACTTGCCATCGAGTCTTTTCAAATAACTTGACACAATATATCTCAAGTTTCTCTCTAAGCCACCATTAATACTGGTATATTCAATAAAGTGCAGTTTGGAATAACGACATTTGAAAAAAGATTTATAAAAAATTCTTAAATTTCGTAATTATTTTTTTTTTCAATGTCCTAAATTAGTTATAAATTTGAGAAAATTAAATATCTAGTCAAAAATTTCCTAGTTTATGGCCATACCGATAAAATTATACCTATCAATCATGCAAATAAGTCGTTTTTAAATAATTCTTAATGACGCATAAAAAATTTCGAGTTGCGGTTAGGGGAGTAATTAACTAATGTAATAAATTTCTCGATAAAAAAATCAAACATACGATAAAAATCATGCTATTTTCTTAAAAGTTGGAGAGTATCGACCTTATTGTCCGTATCTGAGATCGATTTAATTAAAATACATTCTTTGACCATATATAACGTTTGTTGAAAGCGGTGGCTGCTTTCTCCAGAGCAAAACCGGTGTTGTCAGGTCGAGTAAATTTCACTTAATCTAGGCACCAGTAGTACGAGGGTTGTCATTTATTTTGCATATAAAAAACAGTAGATAACTTTTAAACACTATTGTTTTTCGAATTATTCTCCACGAAGAGAATTATTGATACATGATCCGCTTTTGCAACACAAATGTCGTCACCATCTTTTTGCAAACATTTCGAGGATAACTTAGTTGGTTTTGGTTTATCTCGGAACATCCAAACAACCGATTGACGTTTATTTTCGGGTTCATAAGAGTAAATCCAGGATTCATCACCACTCACACTACTGTATATTGTATATACAGGGTGAGTTTCCTACGATGTTCTCTATGGGTATCTTGGAAACTACTGGAGATAGAATCGGTTAAACGAGGAAAGAATTGCAGTTTTGTGGGGTCATGAATATGCGCCTTTCAGATTTTTGAAAAAGTTGCATGGTTGCATGGCTTACCAGATATAGCTGAAAATCCTAAAAATGACGCTTTTTATGAAGTTCTAGCCAACTATGGTTTCCATTAAAAAAAACATATGTTTGTGTCATATGTCAAAAATGACAGGCTTTAGAAAAAAAACAGAGGACGCAATCTCATTAAGGATGTGATTATCTACAACTTTTATCTGAAAACTTATTGTCTAAAATAGACTATAATGGAATTAGGGACAATTTTTAAAATAGCCATTTTTTTTCGAAATATCTAGTAATCCATAAACTTTTTCAAAAATATGAAAGGCGCATATTTAAAAGGCTCGCAAAACTGCAATTCTTTCCCCATTTAACCGACTCTCTAACTCCAGTAGTTTTCGAGAAACCCATAGAGAACGTCGTAGAAAACACCCTGTGTATTGAAAATACTGAGGACCATATGGAACAGAATAAAAAATAAATCTTGCATTATCTAATTAAATTATTTTCCTGATACATTTTTTTAATGAAAATGTACTTGAATTATTTCAGTTAGACATGTATCCTGCTTTTAGAAAGTTTTATGGTTTAACGAGCTTTGTGTGTCAGTTAAAATAATATTTTTAGTTTCTATAATTCTTCACATATACAAAGTTAAAGCAAACTTGATTTTAAAACTCTGGCCATATTTTACATTAACACATATTTAATTGGTGTTATAAAGATTTAGATGGTGTATTAAGTACAATATATTATATTTATTTTAATGTCAAATAATATTATTGAAGCAAGTTTCAATTTTTTGAACATTTAATCAAGAATGTAAAACGTTTTATGTTTATCAAAAAAAAATATCGTAAAATTCGTAAAACACTCCAATTTAGAATAAAATAATCTAAGAATGAAATGATTCTTTTATAAATCTGCATTAAATCAAATTAAAGTAGGTATGTAACTTTTTTTTAAATATTTATTAACAGTAATTAGCATTATCATAAATTATAAATAATGTACCAACATATTGAAATAATAATTTCCAAAACCAAACCAAACCCCTAGCGAGTGTTTCTGGAACGTTCTAAAGAATTCTGTAATTTTTTTTTACTTTCTGGCGAATTCGCCAGGTTCCTCAATGCACGTTGCGGTTATGTAGCAGTAATGCAGTTATGCAACCAGTAATACACCTCGACAATATATAAACAAGGCTAATACAGTCTACGGTTAAATTCTCCATCCCAACGAGAAATTGTCAACTGATGTGGTGCTTCAGTGTCAAAAAACAGAAATCAACTCGGCAAGGAATTCTTGTTCAGACAACTGTCTTCGAAAATTGCAAAAAATTACTGCGCGAAAATTTTCTTGGCTTAATTTCATTTTTCGACTGATACGTCAACATCAAAAATTTAGCTTAGGTACAGCTTTAAACGAGGCTGGTCTAAAACTTTGACGTTAAGTTAAAGATAACAGTTAATTTTGACATTCACTACATATTGACAGGTGCCTACTATGCTTCTGTATGCAAAATATAAAAGACAATCGTATACCAGTAACAATTTCCATAAAGGTATCTGTAATAACATCAAAGGTATTGCAAAAAAAAATATGTTTACATTCATATGATTTTTTTTCTTAGAATATGTCCAAGAATCATCCCCTTAAATCATTACCCATGTCATCACGGCATTTCTAGCAATAATGGCTAGAAAAAAATACTAGAATCTCACTATACACTATGTATAGTAAAATGTTGGTATTTTTTTCTAACGATTATCGATTTTTTGACCTGGCAACACTGAATAAAACTATTTCGGATCTCGTATCAATCGCGTCGGGGTCAACGGACTTAACCTAATCGGAATGGACATACATATCCATGTATGCGTTAAATTGAGACAATTTCAATAAAAATTATCCTTGTTTAAACGATTTTAATTTGTCAAATCAGCCTCTGGTCGGGTTAGGCCAATTTTGCCTTACGATAACCTTGTGATAACCATTGAAGAAATATGTTCAAAACACATTTGCATTAATTGTCATCAAGTGAAACAAACGGTGATATTTTTAGAAAAAAAAAGTAGGTATGTTGTAGACTGTGGATATCAGTCCTATAAACTAGTGGTCTTGGGTCACTTGGAGCTGTTTTAAGTACAGAATTACCCAAATCGTAAGAACGGCGATGGACCGTTTTTAATAGGATTTCCGGAACCGGAGTTGTTTTTCGGAACCGGGATTTCCCGTTTTTTTCGGTACTGACTAATTTTTGTTCAATGGTGGTGCAGTTCATCAATCAGAAAGCAAAGGATGATTTTTCAAAGTAAAATGGATAAAAATTGAGATTTTTAATGAAAACAATATCCAATTATTAAGTAGAGTCATAAAAAAATTAACATGAGTAATCATGAAAAAATTAACATGAACACAAGTGAAGAAAAAAGTATAGAGGCAACTTAAATTTCACATCAAACAACATATATCAACTGAATTTGAGACGAAAGCCCTAAAATATTGAATTAAAAATGCAAATATCTATTAAAATTAAAACATAACATAATAAATATTATAGGAACGTTAAAAGACAAAACAAAATAAAACACTAAATCACCATAATACACCAAAACACTTTTACTTTTACACTGGACGCGCGTTTCGTTAACCATGTTAGCATCATCAGCAGATGATTATAAAACTGAAGTTTTTTATGAACTCAAGTTTTATAATCATCTGCTGATGATGCTAACATGGTTAGCGAAACGCGCGTCCAGTGTAAAAGTAAAAGTGTTTTGGTGTATTGTGGTGATTTAGTATTTTATTTTGCTGTGTAACACCAAAGGTTCCAACCCTCAACTGTAACGTTAATCTTTTAACGTTACAGATGCTATTTCTTATTGTTCTTGCTTCTTTTCTCTTGAAAA